TGGGTGCATGTGCCCTGTAGCAAAAACCTCTAAAAAAAAAAAAAAAAAAAAAGAAAAGAAAAGAAAAGAAAAAAAAAAGGAAAAAAAGACATAAGAATGAGATGGTATATAGCAAGAATAATTATAAATAGCCAGGTCATGAGTGCTTACTGTATTTTGGCATTGTTTTAAACATTCACATATATTAACTAAGGTTTTATTATTTTCCTCCTCCTCAACTAGAAAACTGAAGCACAGAAAGATAAAGTCACATGGCTAGCAGAATTTAGGATTTTAACCCATGTAACTGGTTCCTGAGCTCTTGCTCTACTTCTTAAAGATAAAACCCCAGAGAACCTAAACTTCTAAGGCAATGTGAAGACAATAAAGAAATAATTATTGACAAGGAAAAAGTAGGAGAGAGTTGTGTCTTGGAAACCAAGTAGGACAGTGTTTGAAAGAGGACAGGTAATACTGCAGCGAGATCAACTACACTGAAGGCTGAGGAACGAGGCTGCTGGATTTGGGGACTAAAAGGTCATTATTATCTTAAAAACATCCATTTTTGGCTCAGCCTTGTGGTGTAGTAGGTAGCAAACTACACTGCAGTGCCGGAAACCATATGGCAAGTGCCATTTTGGATCCCTAGGTGGTTTCAAAAATACACTAGGCGCAGGTGTCCGGGGTACTAACCAGGTTGGGGGGACTAGAGGAGATCGTGGGGTGGCTGCTTCTTTCTCTCTTGGTCTCTCTCTGTTCCTTCCTCCATCCCGCCTGCTCTCCCTCCCCTGCACACACGTTCTATCATGAGTTTCTTTAAAAAGGTGTTCATTCTAGAAAGTGCTGGGGAATAGAGTTGGATTACATTTTATTCAGCAGAGAATGTGAGATAAGAAAATGAGTGTATAATTTTCAGACTTTCCCTTTGAAGTTTGTTGATAAGGAGAAGGGATTTAGATAAGAAAAAAAGTAATTGACATTTATAAGGATTAGCAAATCAGAAAAAGTCAAGATTGTTTCCTTTGCTTTTTGTGAAGACTTTCCTCTTAACACTTTAAGGTGATCTTTAACTTTTTCTTCCCCTGTGTATTATGGAATTCACAGGCGCTGTTATTCTAGTCATCTGGTTTCTGACCGATATATCATGCCACAACATTTTATCCAGCCGGGACACCTCTGTTGTGTAAAGATTTCTGAGGATAAGTGGTGGTATCGGGTCATTATCCATCGAATTCTTGGAAAAGAGGAAGTAGAAGTGTTCTACCCAGACTTTGGCAACGTTGGAACTGTTCAGAAGTCTTCTCTGAGGTTCCTTAAGTGAGTTGACTCTAAGAAGAATGGTGGACAGATTAGGTTTTGAATCACGATGCTGAAGCTCTGTGGGACTGTAATACCACTTGCTCATGCTCACATTCTCTCATCCTCCCTTTGCCATCCCTTTCACCTTAGTGCAGATTTGACAACTGGCCATTTAGTTTCACAGATGAATTGTCATTTCTTGTGTCTTCTTTCACATGGCTGTGAATCCTCATGGACCATATGACTAAATTTCAATCTCTTATTAAGAAAATGATTATTTGGGACCTACAATGCAGTGGTTAAAGCACTGCACATAGGGACCATGGTTCAAGTCCAGACCCCAGAGGCTTGAAGAATACACTGGGCACCTGTACGTGTATGCCCCAAATCCTTTTGGGGTAGAGAAATGAAGACAAAAGGATTGTGGCTTGACCACATCCCATTGTGGAGAGCTTTTCTCTCTCTCTGTGAGTGCACACCTTTTGACAATTAAATAATTAATAAAATAAGATGATTCTTAGGATCATGCCAGGAGGTGCATTTAGATAGTAGGAAGATTGAACTATTACTACTTATATTTTAATCACGTTCTCTTAGAGTTTGTTTTATTTTATAATTTTATTCCCTAGATTGCTTTAAAGTACAGGACATTCATTTTAAATTTCATGAATAAAATACCCTGAAATTATATGAATAACTAAAATTAATGAATGGATTAGAGATTCCATAAAAATGCAGTTTTAAAAATATGACTAAATATTCATATGTTTGATTGTTGCAGATGCTGCTACACCAAGCTTCCAGCTCAGGCTATCCCTTGTTCTCTGGCTTGGGTGAGACCCATAAAGGTATGTTGGCTTGTTTCTCATTTAACAGCAGACAGCCCTCACTGTGTGGCAAGAATGGTTCTAAGTTCTCAGGAAAGAAAAATAGTGGAACCAGCCCTCAAAGAAATCACTGCCTAGTGTGTGAAAGAGAGACGTGTCGACAACAGTTGTTGTACTGTGTTATACTTGCTGTGGTAGAGACTTTCGCAAAGGGGAGAATGCTCATTTCTGTCCAAGGTAACCTAGAATGGCCACATAAGGGTGGCATTTGAGTGGAACTTCAAGAAGATTAGAAATATAATTGGACAAAAAAAGAAAGGCAAGGGGAGTAACATAAAACATCTCAAATTTGAGAAATGTGGCTGCAGCGTAAAGGGTGAGCTGGAATGGGTGCATGGCTCATGATCTGAAATACAGGCAACAGCCACGCTCCGAAGTCTAAATGTTGATGTCATTCAGGTGCTGGGAACCAACTGAAGGGTGTGGATAGGGAGCTGCCACAATCAGATCTTTGTTTTTAAGAGAATCCTCTAGTAACATTGTGGGAGATGATCAAGGTGAGTTGGAGAAGGCAGCACTTCATCTACATAGGTACAGTTGTTTATGTAGTTATAATTATCTTTTTTTGAAAATTTTTTTAGAATTATTTAACTTTATTTATTTATTTATTTATTTTAATTTGACCAGAGAGGGAGGTGGGGGGAGAGAGAGAGAAAGCAAGCTGCCAGGTCTGGGACTTGAACCACAGTCAGCCACATGGGAGTCCAGCCTTCTTAACCACCATGCCACCTGCTGGCCCCAATTATCTTATGTACCTAACTTTATATTTTTCCCTTAGAACTCTTACTGAGTTCTCATTGATTACACTGTATTTGCCTGTTTAACTTAAATAACTTACCACTTTGGGGACCAGCAGGTGTCATGGTGGTTAAGGGTGCTGGACTCCCACATGGCCAACCATGGTTCATGTCCCAGACCTGGTGTCTTGCTTTCTTTCTCACTTTCCCTCTCACTCTCTCTTTCTCTCACTCTGCCTTTCTCTGGTCAAATTAAAAATCAGTCAATCAATCAATCAATAAAGTTAAATAAAGTAATTCTTTTAAAAAATAAATTATCACTTTTTTATAAACAGATTGTTACTTTAAAAATATTTTTATCTGAAAAGTTCAGTAAAGAGAACAGAAGAAGAAAAACCTCTACCTGTAATTCTACCACTCAAACAGATCCAATGCACGTTTCTTCTGATTTATTTGATTGGGTGTTGGGAGTGAGAGTTTTTGGTAGGATTTTCAGGGTTACGTAAAATGGTAATCATACTATGTTATTTCCACTTATTTTGCAGTGTGCTTTTTCATCTAGCATTATAGCATAAATAGGGTTAGTGAATTCATAGTAATGTATTAGAGTTATGTGCATCATTGCCTATTTAATCATTCCTTTATTTTTTAAAGAATTATTTATTCAATTTATTTTTATTTTTTAATTTGACCAGAGAGAGAGAAGAAAGGGAAAGTGAGAAAGCAAGCCACCAGGCCTGGGACTCAAACTGGGTTCGGCCATGTGGGAGTACAGCACCCCAAATACCATACCACCTGCTGGCCCTAATCATTCCTTTATAGTTGTATATTTAGTTTGCTTCTAATTTTTTACTCTCATAAATGTGTATAAATTATAGTTTTTCTGTAAGTCTGTATTCAGGATTTTCTAGGATGCATTTTAGCTCTGACTTGATTGCTTTTTACTGCTTGGGCTATCAAGGAGCTCAGGACTAAATTTGTGACCTACTTGTAACCAGTATTCCTTTTTTCACACGCTCGCCAGACGGCTGTCTTTTCTGTTCTTTCTGTTTTGCTCTTCCTTGCCTTCTTCCATTCTTCTTGTCTGGCCTGAGGGCTTTTGCCCATTCTAATCACTGGACTAACTTCTTCGGAGTAACCTCAAGGATGTCCTTCCTAGCACATCAAACCCCAAATGTTACTTCTTCAGAAAGGACTTCCTTGGCCAGCCAATTTAAAATGTACCCTTGCACTTCAGTCATTGACAGTCACCTTGTTTTATCTTGATAACACTTACCACTGTCTCTTATTACCTTGTTTGTTTACACACAGCATTGTAAATCCATAAGGCCAGGTGTTGACATGTCTTGCTCACCCCTGAATCTCCAGTGCTAAAATCAATGCTTGGTGCATGGTAAATACTCAGGGTTTTTTTTTTGTATGTTTGTCTTAAATTGTACGTATTTGTGGGCTACAGTGAGATGTTTCCATACATATATGCATTGTGTAAGAATTAAATTAGGGCCCTGCAGGTAGCGTGTTTTAGATGCCACTGCTCAGCAAGCTGAAGCCACATGAAAGGCCCAGGCTTAACCTAAAAAGCTGGGTGCAGGGATTTGCCTGAAGTCCTACTCCTTAGGAGACGGAGGAATGTGACACAGTGAGACATTGTCTAAAACAATACACACATTCATGCACCTGCACACACACATACACACACACACAGGAGAAAATGATCAAATCAGAATATTTAACATATCTGTCACCATATATTTTTGTTAAAATATCCATGCTACTCAAAGCAATCTACAGATTTCAGTGTAATCCATGTCAAAATTACATTGACATTTTTCTTAGAAATAGCTAAAACAATACTAAAGTTTGTATTGAACCACAAAAGATCCTAAGTGGCCAAAACAATGTTCAACCAAGAGAACAAAGCTGGAAGCTTGTTTGAAGTTACTACCTGACTTCAAATTATACTACAAATCAGAACAGTAATGACCCCAAAATAAACATGAAGACCAATGGAATAGAATAGAGAACCCTGAAATTAATCCTTAAAAATATAGCCAATTGATTTCTGGCAAAGGTACCATGAACACACAATGGAGAAAGGACAGTCTCTTCAATAAATTTTGCTGGGAAAACTAGATACACACATACAGAAAAATAAAGCTAGAATCCTAGCTCTCACCATTTAAAAAATTAATTTTTAACTAAATCTATCTCACTTTGACTTTTTTTTTTTCAAAAATATTGATGCATTTGGTTAATTGTGTAGTAGCACCAGAGTTGCATCGGTGGGACTAATGCAGCCATGGAAAAAAATCAAAAGCAGACAAAAAAAAAAATCTGCCCTGGGAAGTCATACTGCAGTGGGTGAGATTGGGATTTTTTCAGCTTCTTTCCTGAGGTCTTTCCTCAATGTATCTTTGCTAGCTTGAAGAATTAGTGAACATTGTTTGGGACTGGCAGAACAGCTAAAGGGTGGGGAGTTGGGGGTGAGGATATTAAAAAGGAAGGAACCACAGAATGAGTTTTCCAGAATCAGTGTACACAATTTACCTAAGTCTTTGGATGACTACTAACCTTTGCAAATTTTAGGGAGAATGTACTGATTCTAGGTAATGAAGAATCAGTAGCTGACATCTGAAGGAACTAAGCAGAGATTTCAGCCAGTACAGACTGCAGGGGAGACAGAGTTTAGAGTTTGCATCCAGACAGTTTAACTGACAGTTAAAAAAAGCAAACAAAAAACCACTCTTTAGAAGAGTATAATAGATCCTGGAATGTCTACATTATATTGATAATGCTTGCTATTCCTTTAAAAATCACTAGATGTGTAAAGAAACAGGAAAATGTGACATTTACTCAAGAAAAAGACCTTGAAATGGTCCAGGTGTTGCAGTTAGCAGACACAGACATAAAGTTTTATGAATATGTTCAATGACTTAAAAATCTACTCATAACTAATGAACATAGTAAGGGATTTCAGCAGAAATAAACTATTAAAAATAAATATAGTGGCCAGTGGGTGGTGTGATGGTTAAGGTGCTGGACACTCCCACATAGCTGAGCACAGTTCAAGTATTGGACCTGGTGACTTGCTTTCTCACTTTCCCTCTCTCCATGTCTCTCTCTGGTCAAATTTAGAATTAGTGAACATTGTTTGGGACTGGCAGAACAGCTAAAGGGTGGGGAGTTGGGGGTGAGGATATTAAAAAGGAAGGAACCACAGAATGAGTTTTCCAGAATCAGTGTACACAATTTACCTAAGTCTTTGGATGACTACTAACCTTTGCAAATTTTAGGGAGAATGTACTGATTCTAGGTAATGAAGAATCAGTAGCTGACATCTGAAGGAACTAAGCAGAGATTTCAGCCAGTACAGACTGCAGGGGAGACAGAGTTTAGAGTTTGCATCCAGACAGTTTAACTGACAGTTAAAAAAAGCAAACAAAAAACCACTCTTTAGAAGAGTATAATAGATCCTGGAATGTCTACATTATATTGATAATGCTTGCTATTCCTTTAAAAATCACTAGATGTGTAAAGAAACAGGAAAATGTGACATTTACTCAAGAAAAAGACCTTGAAATGGTCCAGGTGTTGCAGTTAGCAGACACAGACATAAAGTTTTATGAATATGTTCAATGACTTAAAAATCTACTCATAACTAATGAACATAGTAAGGGATTTCAGCAGAAATAAACTATTAAAAATAAATATAGTGGCCAGTGGGTGGTGTGATGGTTAAGGTGCTGGACACTCCCACATAGCTGAGCACAGTTCAAGTATTGGACCTGGTGACTTGCTTTCTCACTTTCCCTCTCTCCATGTCTCTCTCTGGTCAAATTTAAATGAATGAATAAATAAATAAAGTTAAATAGTTCTTTAAAATAAATAAAATGTGAATTCTAGAGTTACAAAGTAAAATAAATGAAAAATTTCTTGATAAGCTTAACAGCAGATCTGGAAACAACAGAAGAGTATTTGAACTTGAAGACATAGCGAAAGAAATGATCCAGTATGAAGAGCATAAAAATTTTAAAAAGAAAGGGCTGGCAGGTGGCGTGGTGGTAAGGGCAATGGACTTCCACATGACTGACTGCAGTTTGAGTCCCAGACCTGGCAGCTTGCTTTCTTACTTTCCCCATCTCTTTTTCTCACTCTGTCCCTCTCTGGTCAAATTTGAAAAATAAATAAATAAATAAAGTTTAAAAAAATTTAAAAGAAAATGGA